TAAAGGTGCTGATCAGGGCCGCTGCTGGCCAAATGGGTGCCCTAAGCAGAATTATATTGTTGTGCCCCCTCCAGTGCTTGACGGTACCGCTTCATCCTCTTTTGTAACAAATTTCAGCATTGACCCTGCATTAAATGAAGCAGAATATATTAGTCACTGAAGAATTACTGAGTGCACTTTTAAATAAACAGTTATTGTTAGTTAAAAAAAAACATAAGTAAATTAAGAGCAGTCAGTGTAATAAAACATAGTTTTAACAAAAAAAAAAACAGTTACCTCCTATGGCTATGATTTTATTAATACAGTTGTCTGATTGATTTTATAGTCTCAAGCATTCAGAAATCACACAAAAGAAAATTAAGTAGTTTTACTATACGATAAAACCATGTTTTGTAAGGGTTGTGATGTTTTTGTTGAAGAAATTATAGAGGCTGTAGCAATTCTATCGCTTAGGCTATGTAATTTAACAGTGCTATTCAATGAAACCATATGATTATTATTAATTATTAACCAATCATTATTGCCTCATTTGTTTTTATATAATGCATTTTAAAGGCTGTTGTTCGCTTAGGTGTTTTTATTACCACAAAACATATTAGGCTAGCTGAATAGTCTACTTCTTTGTTAATTATTATTTGAAGTAACAAAACCTTGGTTAATTTGTAACATAATAACTTTATTGTTGCTGCCACCGCCGCGGCCATGTTGTGAAGACGCTGTGTGTTTCGTTGCAAAAGCGAAAATACTTTGGCCTTCCAAAAGAGGACACGACTAGAAATCAGCAGTTAAGTTGTATTTACAACACTGTTCCAGAACAGTTCAACCCATATATTCAGATGTGAGCAACGCATTTTACGGAGGACGAGGACTGTTTCCTGGGAGAGTAGTCAGAAAGGCAGGGCATAGAGGAGAAACAATAATGTACAGTATGTGGGAAAATAATGTTTTTTAACCTTAAACCGCATATACACATTTCATTACACCAAATACACCAAATAATGTTCTTTTTAGCAACATCATATGACCCCGTTAAATAAAAGATAAGATAAACATTATTGTCCTGAAGGAAATTTGTCATACTGTATTTCTTAAATGTGTAAAAATAATTTTCATTTATAAGCAAAATAGGCATATAAAACTAAAAAACACACATAAACTTCAGTGTATGGTTCTGTGTTAAAAGAAGTGTGATGGGATTTCAAAAAAAGATATCTCCTGCCATCCTCAGGACGCAATGTGGAACTGCACCATTAGCTTGCAATTCAATAACACTAGCATCGCAATAGGGCACCTGCAATGTAATTCTCACAGAAATGCAGAGGCGGACAAAGTACACAACTCCATTACTTGAGTGAAAGTACAGATACTGCTGGTCAAATATTACTCCATTACAAGTAAAAGTTGTAAAGGGCACATCTATTGACAATGGTTAATCATAAAAAATTCATAATGCAAACATTAGGCACTTAAGAGGCCTCTGTGGTCTAGTGCCACTAACCACTAAAGTGCTTGCCTCTGTGAATAAGATGGTGAGTCAGAAAAATATACTGTAATATGAGATTTTTCTACCAAATTATCATTTTACCTTTATTAATTGTATTTTCCTTTTGATAGAAGTTTCCAAATCACATTGTAGGCTATGCATTTTACATGGTATAGTCACTGACCATAAAGCATTTCATAAAGGTTAAACATGCCATCCCTGTTTAATCCATTTCATTATTCATAAACTGGCAAAACCATATGATCAATTTAACCAAAATTCTATTTTATATATTATGCACGTACAGTCATATTTACAAGTCTCCACTTACAACACACATCACATTTGAATATGCAAGCCAAATTTCTATATTCGCAATCATCAATATATTTGCAATCATTTTGACGTAAAAGGTCAAAGGCTTTCTCGTGTTCAGTTAGGTTGAGTCATTTATGCTCTTTCTAAACCCTGAGACTCAACATGCAAAGTAGAAAAGAAAAGGTCAGGCAGACAAAGGCCATTTCTTATGCAAAGGTTTCTTTCGTTTGCCATCTTCCACCCATTACCTTTAAACATGATGAAACCTCTGCTGTGGCTCCCAACAGTGCAGGAGACTAATTGCTTTTTGCCTTTATGAATTTATTGATATCTTGATGTTCATTTCCTAAATGTGAGGAACCCAGTAAAAAATATGTTTTGCTGTTGACGCTGTGAAACTACTGTCACAAAACATGATGCGAAAGCACTTTTATGAATGTCATAAAACACAGATAGCTTGGGAATGATATAATAGATTATTTACTTAAACTGCAGTTGTGTTGTATTTCAGTCTCTATATCATACATCTCACAGACTCTCTTTAGGCCATTTTTGCAAGCACCAGCTGGTGAGCTGATGTCCCCTGGGACACAAGGGGGACAACAATGCTACTGGTTATCTGCAATCTTAGCTGTCTAGTCCCAAATTGGCTATAGACACTATGCATTTTCCATTTTTGCCTGTGAAGAACATTCTTTGTTGTAAAGACCATATGAAGGTTTGCTCATTCTGGTCTTAATAATAATAGTATACTCAGAAGGTTTTAAAAATATATGTACCAAATATGCCATGGAACTTTACACATACATAAGGATACCTAAAGTAAATATTTATAATTTAAAAAAGCAGCCAGTTGGCTGGATAAGAAGCTGGCTACTCATTCTTATACCTTATTCAAAAAACTAATGCCCAGTTTCCATTTAGAGTAGAGTTTAATACACTGGATTTTTGCATGTCTCGATGATCTCGTCCTCTACTATTGAAAGATTTAATATATAAAAAATATACTTAATGTCTGCCCTACATTTGAAGTACATCAAAGTGGTGCCAACGTTACAACATGCCGCAATTTGCACTTTTTCGACTACTGAATTTAAAAACAGGT